ATCACAGAAAGCTTGAACCTGTCATGTCGACCCGCCAGTGTTCCTATGACCTGTCCCTACCCAGGAAAGCATGTGCCACCCAGTGGTGCCCTTTCAAGGTGAGGAAGGTCTGCTGGGAGCCCCACAGGTACGTGGGGGAGGGAGCGGGTGAAGGGCAGGGTGGACTCCCAGCTGAGCTAACCCCTTTCCAGGTCCAGTCAGCTCTGGTCCTCCCCCTCCCCATTGCCTATCGAAGGGACAGCCAGGCCCGAGGTCACGAGTCCCGGCCAGTGCCCAAGGATCCTGCCCTGGCAGGCGACTTCTGGACTCTGAGACTAGCAGCAGTTGATCTTGAATGCCCTGGGAGCCAGTTGCAGAAGGCAGGGAGGTGGGGCCAGGGAGGCGGGGCCAGCTCTTCAACTACTACCACCACCTGGGCCAGAGCCAACAGTAGTGCCTGGGACACTGCCACTACCAGCACAGACACCGCCTGGGAGTGACTTGAGGTCCAGTTCCTGCCACGGGCCCCATCCTCACGGTGCTAGGGTGGAAGCTCTTGGTGTTTTTCATTTTCCATATGAGGAAACTGAGGTATGATCGAGCGGCAAACATGGCTATAGGACTCAGGTGCCCCCACAGTCCCTTGGTGTGGGTGCTGTCCCAGCACAGCACCTGCTTAGGGCAACACGCCTGGCCTTGCCATGGCAGGTGACCAGGAAGAATCGGTGGGGGTTTGGGAAGTGTGGTTGGTTTGGGTGCGGTTGGGAGGCTGCTGTAGCCTTTTCCAGAGCCACTGGGGATGCTTTTAGAGGCTGTGAGGTGGATCAGGTGCAGGGGCTGGTGGTGCTGTGGCAGAGATGCCAGTGCTCTGTGTGTGTGTGGGAATGGGGGCAGGTCAGGCCCTTCTCAGCCATGATAGCCTAAGATTGCATGGCTACCCATAAAACAGAGATTTAAGAAGATACCAGAAATTTGAAATGTGTAAAATTTATGAATTAAAATATTGTTTGAAGATTTATTTATTTATTTTGATTATTATTTGAAAGAGATTTACATTGAAAAGGAGAGATAAGGCCAGCGCCCTGGCCTAGCGGCTAAATTTCTCGCCTTGAGCGTGCCCTGATGCCATATGGGCGCCGTCTCTAAGGTTCTAAATCTGGCAGCTCCACTTCCCACCCTGCTTCCTGCTTGTTACCTGGGAAAGAAGTTGAGGATGACCTAAAGCCTTGAGACTGTACCCACGTGAGAGACGAGAAGAGGATAAAGGCTCCTGGGTTCAAATTGGCACAGAACCGGATGTTGCGCTCACTTGGGGAGTGAATCATTGGACGGAAGATCTTCCTTTCTGTCTCTCTTGTTTTCTGAATATCTGCCTTTCCAATAAAAATAAATACAGCTAAGAAACAGAAAAAAAGAACAGAAGGAAGGAAGGAAGGAAGGAAGGAAGAAAGAAAGAAAGAAAGAAAGAAAGAAAGAAAGAAAGAAAGAAAGAAAGAAAGAAAGAGAAAGAAAAGGAGAGATAGAGAAGGTCTACCATCCATTGCTTTACTCCTCAAATACCAGTAATGGTCAGAACTGAGCTGATCCAAGATCAGGTACCAGGAGCTTTTTTTGGGCCTCCTACATGGGTACAGCATCTCAGGGCCTTGGATCATGCTCCGCTTTGTTCCCAGGCTACAAGCAGGTTGTTGGGTTTATGTAGTTTATTGGATAGGTGCTGTTGTATGATTTTATTGGATAGGTGCGGTTGGAGGAAGGGGAGGGATGAGCGAGAAAGAGAGAAAAGAAAATGAAGAAATGAATGGAAGGAAGGAAGGGGGGAAGGGAAGGAGGGAGGGAGGGAGGGAGGAAGGAAGGAAGAGAGAAAAGACGGAAGGGAGAAAAGAAGGAAGAAAGGGAGAAAGGAAGGAAGAAAGAAAGAAAGGAAGGAAGGAAGAAAGACAAACAGGCAAATAGGAAGAGAAAGAGAAAGAGAGCTCTACTGGCTCACTCCCCAATTGCCCCCAGTGGTCACAGATAAGGTCATGCCCAGTGGTAGCAGGGAGCTTTTTCCCAGTTCTCCTTGTGAGCTGGATGGTAAGCATAGCTGCCAGGATTAGAACCGGTGCCCTTATGGAACCCCGCTGTGTTCTAGGCAAGGACTTTAACTGCTATGCTATTGGACCTAGGTGTAACATTTTGAAGTGCAGTAGGAGTTGGGCTCCTCCCTCGCCTGGGCTCAGTGGAGGTTGGGGTGCCTTCAGAGTCTTGATTAGTCCTTGAGTATCTGGGGTTAAAGTCTTACCTCTGGAGGGCCCTTCCCAGGCCTGGGCAAACAGGTGTGCTGTAATCGGCAGGATGAGTAGCTTGTAGATAAACCAGAGCTGCAAGAGCAGGTGACTCAGTTTACCAGTAGGATTTCCAGCCTTTTGAGAGTTTCACTGTGAGAGTAACTCCTTTGGCTGTCTTAATTTATATTTGACATTAGACTAATTTTATTGGCATGGTTTTTCAAGACCAAGGAAAACCAAGTGATACACCCCACAGGCTCCCCCTTTCTGGGTGGGGCCTTGGCCAGGTCCAGCGCCTTCCCTGGGATAAGCAACATTGTTGTGCAAAATCCTTCACCACACTTTCCAGGGAGGAGCCTGTCCAGCCAACTGGATACCAGGTAGCCAGGGCAGGGACTGGTGCACCTGAGTGTCTTCCAGCCCTTGGACAGCCCTGTCAGGCCTCTGCTCAGTTGTCTTCCACCTGCCGCTTGGCCAAACAGACACATCTGGAGAGAGCCTCGTGCAGCACGCGCAGGAAGGAGTGAGTGAAGGCGCCAGCACCCAGTTCCGCTCCGTGCTTGTAGCATCTTGCTGCCCGCAAACACAGACTCTTTCCCCACCCCGGATCTGACACAGACCTGAGAGATTCCTGTGTGCCAGGGGAGTCACAGATGTGGAGTGTCAGAGGAAAGAAGGAAGGAAAGTGTGCAGGGGCCACGCTCTGCCCTTCCTGGGGCTGCCAAGAAGCTCTGAGCACCCAGCACGAGGCGGCCAGGTGGGTGCGTGGTGTTCTGCACGCTGGCATTAGCTCCCAGGGCTGGATCCGTGCCACGTCAGACCTCGGACTTGGGGTCCGTGCAGGTCACGTAAGCCAGAGCTGCTGAGCAGTGGAGTCTGCCCCCACTCCCTCCATCCCAGGCCTGTAGCAGCCGTGGCAGCATTCAGCTAGGAAAGGGCAGGAAGTTGATGAAGACAGAACTGTGAGAACAATCGGTATGTGAAGGAGAGGATCCAGCTCAGTGGCGTGTGAGACTTTCTCCTGGCACTGTCAGCCTGACAGCTTCTGATTCCTGCTTGTTCCATCACAGGGCAGGTAGTATGTCAAGTTTCCTGGCAGCGGTATTAAGTACCCTGACTCTGGCCATTATTCTAAAGGTCATTAGATTAAAACACCATCCCTGGCCCGGGCAGCGTGGCCACAGCAGGCAAAGTCCTCACTTTGAACGCACCGGGATTCTATATGGGCCTTGGTTCTAATCCAGGCAACTCCACTTCCCATCCTGAGCCGTACTGTGACCAGGGAAGGCAGTCTAGGATGGCCCAAAGCCTTGGGACCATACACCCGTGTGGAAGACCTGAAACATGTTCTGGGCTCCTGGCTCCTGACTCCTGGCATCAGATCAGCGCAGCTCCAGCCATTGTACTCACTTGGGGACTAAAGCATCGGATGGAAGATCTTCCTGTCTCCCCACCTCTCTGTTTCTCTGACTTGGTAATGAAAACAAAATAAAACTTAAAAAATAAAAACGCCATCCCTTAGGGCCAGAGCTGTGGCCGCAGCCCTAAAGCTGCTGCCCACAGCACCAGCATCCTGTATTGGCCCCAGTTCAAGTCCTGGCTGTTCTACTTCTGATCCAGCTCTTTACTATGGCCTGGGAAGGCAGCAGAGGATGATCAAGTCCTTGGGCTCCTACACCCATGTGGGACACCCAGGAGAAGTTCCTGGATTTGTTCTGCCCTTGTCACCATTTCAGGAACAAACCAGTGGAATAAGATCCTGCCTTACCCTCTCTTTCTCTGTGTTTCTTTTTCTCTGTAACTCTGCCTTTCCTAGTCAGAAGTATTGAAAAAAAAAAAAAAAAGAGAAGCAAAATTTGTTGTTATTTAAAAAAAGGAGGCGGAAGGACATCCGTGCATGCACCTGCTCCTTGCCTCAGTTTACTCAGTCTCTGATTGCTTCATCTTGTCCCTGAGTGGTTTAGATGTTGATTTGTTTTCAGTTACTTAAAAGGTGGAGAATGATAGAAGGAATGAGATCAGCCCCCCATCTACTGGCTCCCTCTCCAAATGCCGGCAACAGGGCTGGCAGGCCAGAGCCATTCCAGGTCTCCCACATGGGTGGCAGGGGCCCGGATGCTCTGGCTGGCCCCTCAGTTTGCCTTGGCTGAGAGCAGGGCACAAAGTGCCTGCCCTGTGTGTGCTGTCAGGTGGCCCGTGTGTGGAGCAATAGGGGAAGCAAGGATGTGTGTGTGTGTGTGTGTGTGTGTGACTGAGAGCCCTTTGGAGCCTGCTGCATGCCACACCCAGCCAGGGCACCTGTGTCTGTTCTACCGGCACCTTCTGAGAGCCAGAGGTGAGGTCTCCAGCAGATGCGATTTGTGAGTCCCATGCTGTTCTACCATGCTATGATTGCTGCAGATGCCCTATGACACAGAAGGGGCCCTGAGGCCCTTGAGACATCATGGCACACGCCAGGCTCCGCAGGTCAGTGTGGCCTGAGTTGAGGGAGGAGCAGTACGACAGGAAGGGCAGCGCTGCCTCTGAATGGATGTGCCGAGCACCCGAGCGCTGGGACCTCTGTATCTGTCCTGAGCCAGGAGGCCTACATCCCTCAGCTGCTTCTGTTTTCCAGTGACTAGCCGTTATCCTGCATTCCTGGGCCAGGGGCTTCTCCCATGACATGCAGTGGGGCCACTGCCACTGCAAGTAGACAGGGGCTCATCTACTCACAAGAACTGTCTCCTTTGTCCTTCCCCAAGTCCAACCAGGATGCCCGTCATGGTGGAAGACATCATGAAGCTGTTGTGCACCCTCTCTGAGAAGAGAAAAATGAAAGCAGCTGTCAAGCACTTGGGCAAGGACAAGGTCTTGGGCAAGGTCAAGGACACCCTGGTCGCAGGAGCTGCGGCCTTCGTGTGCGGCGTGGTGTTCAGTTTGGTGGGTGGCCCACCAGGATTTGTTGTCGGTAAGTGCAGGTATCTTGCTTGGATGGCCAGTGGGAGGGTGTCTTGAAGGGGAAGGGTGCACACAGGGACGAGGACTCAGTGGCCTCTCCTCTGTGGAATGAGTGTGTGTATGGAATCTAGCCTGTGAACGGCTCAGAAGTGCCCATGTCTCCCACACCTCCAGCACCGCTCTTGCAGGCAGGCAGGAGGACACTGTCCCAACCTCCCTGCTCTCCTACCGGCCTGTGTCTGTGAGTTCTGGGTTTGCACAGCAGCAGCATCACAGGTCGTTTTGGAAGGGAGCCAGGAAGGAAGCTGGTGTCTGCGGCACATGTGACCACGAGCAGATGTTGCATGGCTGGTCTGCAGCAGCTGGCGCGTCCTCCTTCTGGAAGCACAAAGTCCGTGCAGGGAACAGCACAGACAGCGCCTCTGCCCCAGGGTCGGCCCTCCTGGGCAGCCTGCAATGGCAGGGAACGAGAGCTTGGCTCATTTCCCAGTTGGTTCTCAGAGCTGGGATAAAGGTGCTTCCTTTTTTAGATGATTTTTTTTTTAATTGGAAAGCCAGCTTTACAGAGAGAAGGAGAGACAGAGAAAAACTGTCTGCTGGTTTACCACTCACGTGGTCCCAATGGCCAGAGCTGAACGAATGTGATGCCATGTACTGGACAGCTTGGCCAGTAGCATGGACACGGCGAGGGTCAGGGAATCAGACACCAACAGGAGACCAGTAGTGGTGGAAGAGGTCTCCCTCAGCCTCCCTTTATTCAGCCATATATACCTTTTCCCCAAGCCTCTAGCAGAACAATTGGATGCTAATGAGTCTGACAGACAAGGTGCCACTAGCCTCCAAGCCATTTCCTGCAGGAGCCAAGCTTAACAAATGCTAATCAACTCCTCAGCCCACAACAATGCCAGGAGCCCGGAGTTTCTTCCAGGTCTCCCATGTGGGTGCAGGGTTCCAAGGCCTTGGGCCATCCTGCACTGCATTCCCAGGCCACAAGCAGGGAGTTGGAAGAGGAGTTCAGCAGCAGGGATATGAACCAGTCCCCATATATGATCTTGCACATGCAAGGTGAAGACTTTAGCCATTAGGCTGCTGTTACAGGCCCCAAGGTATTTCTGTTTTAGGAGGAGCAGGAGGGATTCCTGTGTCCTGGCTCAGGCCGCGGCCTGAACCCTCAGCTAGACTGCAGTGAACCAGCCAGGTGAGGCCCGAGCCGCATCCTGCACTACTGTTGAGCTGGGATCCTCAGGCTGCTGTCTGCCTGGGTCCTGCTGCATTGGGCGCCGTGCCTGTTAGCAGCGCCTCCTCCGTGCTGGGCGTCGGGCTGATGGGAGGCCTCTGTCCATGGCTGTAGGCCACCAAGCAGCTGCTTTTCTGTCCAGCTGCCGACTGCTTTCCAGCTTGCTGCCTGGGTTTCCTGGCCTTTCTTGCCTTGAAGGCAGGACTGACATTCAAGGACCTTCCAGGAAACTGAGGCCACAGGTACGAGGAGGATAAACCCCAGAAGGCCCCTCCACCATGTTCCCTTTGCACGTGCTTAAGCTCAGCCAGTGCTGACATCTGCTCCTCGCCGTCCCGGAAGGAGCCAGGCAGGCAGGAGACCAGACCTCCTTCCTCAGTGACCTCCTGAGTCTGTCCCCACCAACTCCGGGACCCCCTGGCCACCTAGGCACGTCCCAGGACCCCCTGGGAACACACAGTTTGCTGAAACTGAGTAAAAGCTGTTGGAGACCCAGGCCTTGGCAGGAAGCAGGGCACCTGCTACATCCAGCTCTTGGTCTTGGGTGCGAGAAAACAAAGGAATTTACTCTATTCTAAATAACTAGTAATTTTTCAGTCGATATTCCTGGAGACTCCGTGTGTTAAGGGATGTTCTCATACAGGGTTAGTGCAGATGGATACAACTCCTGTCAGCTCCAATATTTCACTGGTGTCATGGGGAGTTCAGGAGTGTGGACATTAGCTGGTCTGCCTTCCCCAGAGTGCTGCTCTTCCTGGGAGAGTTGTTGACCCAGTCCAGAGCAGCCATCACCAAAACATGGGGCTGAGGCCAGTGTGATGGAGAGGGTTAAGCTGCATCCCATGTGGATCCTGCTGCTCTGCTTCTCATCCAGCTCCCTGCTCAGGTGCCTGGGGAAGCAGTGGAGAGGGCGCTAAGGCTTGGCCCCTGCACCCAACGCGGGAGACCAGGGAGCAGTTCTGGGCTACTGGGCATCCTGGCCCAGCTCTGGTTGTTGTCCTTTGGGGAATGCAGCTGCAGATGAAACATCTCTCCTCTCTATCTCTGTAACTGTACCTTTCACCTAAATAAAGAACAATTTTTAACAGGTTTGGGGGAAGGGAGGAGAGTTGGTGTGGGAGGAATGGCAATTGGAACCTAAAGCTATAGTTTGAGAGTGAAGAGTGCCATCCTGCCCTTAGCTGTTGGCTTCTTGAATGAGCTCAGCAGGGAGGGAGCTCTGCAAGCCTAAAGCCACCTGAGAGCTTTTCGCTTCCAGACAATTCCATGTGGATCTACATAAGTGTATTTTCCTGTTGCCTTCCTCTCAAGTCCATGATGAAACAGATGAGTCTGAGACAGGGGTGTTTTGATTGACAAGCAGGAGGATAGCTTTACACGGGGGTGAGGCCTTGTTGCTCACGGGACTTCCAGGGCAGCAGCTCCTAAACTAGCTGCCTGCTTATCCCCTGCCAGCCGTGGGGAGACCCAGACGGAGTTCCTGGCTGCTGAGCTTGGCTGGCCCATCCTTGGCCATTGTGGCCATGTGGGAAGCAAACCAGGGAGTGCCCCCCACCCCGTGCCCATCACCCTGTCTCTGGCCCATGGTACAGGTTGTTTTTTTTGATTGTTTTGTTTTGTTTTAATAAATTTGTAGCTTGGAAGAACAATAGATTTATAGGATGTTGCATAGACAGAATTTTCATGTGTCTGTCGCTTGAAACACGTTCCACTAGTATTGACCTGTATCATGGGTCATTGTCAAGGCTACAAAACTAACACTGACACTCTACTCTGAACCATGTTCTAGACTCCATTTGGGTTTCAGTAGGGATCTCTTTCATTTTTCTTTCTTCCTTCCTTCCATCCTTCTTTCCTTCCTTTTTTTGGTAACATTTCTTTGTTTGTTGAAAAGCAGAGTGACTGAAAGAGAGAGAGGAGACAAAGACATGGTCCATCTGCTGGCTTACTGTGCTAATGGTTGCAATGGTTAGAGCTGGCCCAGGCTAAAGTCAGAAGCCAAGACTTCCGTGCTGGCCTCCCAGGTGGCAGGGGCCATCTGCTGCTCCCTCAGGCATAGTGACCGGGAGCTGGGTGGGAAGTGGAGCAGCTGGGACTTGAACCAGTGCTACAGGATGGGATGTTGGTGTTGCAATGAGCAGCTTAAGCTACTGTGCCACAACACCATCAGCAGATATGACCAGGTTTTGCATTAGTGACCCCCTGCCCCTTTATTGATTCTAGAGTCCTGTTTGATTCCTTCGTCACCTCTGGTCTGTGCCAGTTTGTTTAGACTGTGTTTGGTTGTACAATCTTGATGGTTAGGAGAGCTGCCGTGCTAGGTGGTCCTTCTGTCCGTCTGTAGTTGTCTGTCGTGTTCCTTGTGGTCAGACAGGAGCCTCAGGCCTTCAGAAGATCAGCCCAGATGTGAACGTACGGCGTTTGCACCACTCCCGGTGGGTACAGGGCACCCATGCAACCTCTCTGGCGAGGCTGGCCCCACTCCCACGTGGAGAGTTTGCACACTGTGTTTTTCTGCTGTGAAGCTACTGTTTCCTTCCTGCGTACTGTTGTGCAGGCATGAGTCCTGGAGGCCAGACGGGCTGCACCCTTAGATACCTCATTCCTGACAATTTAGAACACGGGCATTTTAAGATGTGAATCCCATGTTGTGTGTGGCAGGAATTGGCTGGCAAGTCTGGTAGCTGTCCCTTCTCCACAGACCCACTGCGCCTGCTTCCAGGATCCTGTTGTGTACCTGTCTGGCTCCTTAAGGTCCTTGAGTCTGCGTGTGATCTTAGCCAAAAGGCCGAGATGTGATGGTCCTTGAGTCTGGACTCTAGCACTCAGGCCCCTCCCACTAGCGTGTAACCTTACTTAGAGCACACCCTCACGTTGACACAGTTTGCCGTTGGAAATGGTGGTGTGCCCCTGTCAGAGGGCAGGAAGGCAAGCAGTAGGCCATGCCATGGCATGATCGACGGGGTCCCTGGGTTCTCTAACCTCCTGAGTTCAGGGGAAGTTTCCTAGACTCAGGGACAAAGAGTGTGTCGGGCCCCCAGGGGAGGAAGCAGGGCCTCACCACTGAACCACTTGTCCTCCAGGGCCTCTATGCAGCTCAGCTCCCTGGTCTGCAAGGCAGGAGATGGTGTGGGAAGCCACTTGAGGAAGACTTGGCTCTCGGGCAGCTGTGCTTTGCTCCACATTGGTGCTGCCATCAGGACAAGGGGCACTTGGATATCCATTCCCACAGGCAGGGGCAGCAGAGGTCTGCCCTGCCTGCTGCCTGCAGAGCTGAGCCCACCCGACCAGCTCCACCACTGGCCCCCTCCTCATGGGCTCAGCGAGAAGCTGAGGCTGGCATGTGGCTGCAGGCCTAACTGCTGGCTCCCTTGTTTTCTAGGTGGCGCTGTCGGGGGCCTGTTAGGTGCCTGGATGACAAGTGGACAGTTCCAGCCCGTCCATCAGATCTTAAAGGAGCTCCCTCTGGTGGATAAGCAGAAGCTCTTTAATAAGGTCCTTGACATCATCAGGCACCTGGACTATAAAGATGCCGTTCAGCTCACCACTCTCGTCCTAGGCAGTGAGGCCCTGCAGGAGCAGCTGCTGGCCGTGCTGGTATGCTACTTCGAGGAGGAGCTGCAGGCCCTTATCTGCTACGATGAATAGGCCACCCTGCCTGGTGACCTCTAGAAGCTGTGGTCCAGGGGAGGCTCTGAGTGTCCTCTTTGCCTGCAGTGGTGTCTCCCGCCTGAGAAGACACTGCTGTGCTGTGACATGTTCCAGAAGTTATTTCCCAGTGTGCCCTGGCTGCCCTCTGACCCAGAAGTTGGCGAAAGGTGCAGGCACCCCCGGCCTAGGCCCATGGGGCAGGTTTCTGAGTTGCATTTTAGGTGCTTGGGCGGCTAGAGGAAGTCGTCATGGCCCCAACACAGTTTCTCTGCCTTCTTCCCTCCCAAGCACCTGTGCAGGAAAGACCTGGAGCGCTCCATGAATAATGATGTGACCTCCTGGGTGTACTCCTGTCCCTGCCCCAGAAGTGGGGGAGGGCGCTCAGCCCATAGAACAACCACCTAGTCCATGCAGGGGTGTTGCTATTCCCACCTGAGGAATCAGGGCAGTTTCAGAGGCCCTCGTTCCCTGCACTAAGGAGTGTCTGCAGCCTACAGATTGCCCTCATTCTGCTTCAAGTGACAATAAATCTGAAAAGTTACTCTTCCACGTGTGGTACTTGTGTAGTAAAAGCCTTTGAATGAGATTCAAATGAAAGCTCTGATTGGTGGGTTTCGAGAAGGGTGGACAGCTCCCCTCCTAGGCCAACACTCTGGTGCCTGTCCCCTTCCCAATCCCCAGGCTGACCAGCTCCCTGCCCTGCTGCCCTGTGTGAGCAGCCAAGCACCTGGGCAGGGTGAGGCCTTGGGACCCTCTCCTGGGACTGCAGGCCTGGAGGCGGCCCAGGCAGCCCGTGGGTGGAGGGAGCCCAGCTGAGTGTCCTGGGACCCCATGCCAAGAAATGTGCAGGGTGAGCCCTGAGCCATGGGTCCTTCCAGGGGCTGCCCCAATATCCATCAGGTGCTCTATGGCCACACTCCTGCAGGTGGCAAAGTCCCTTTGGGCATATACGTGCTGGCGGAGGGGGTGGAGGCAGGGGCTACTGTCCAGGAGGCTGAGGGGGACCCTTTCTGCTCTTCCTGCCAGATGTGCCCTCCACCCCGGCCCCTCCAACTGACAGTCCTCAGTCAGGGTCCTTCCATGCATGCTTTCCTTGTGAGGACTTCACAGTTGTTCTGTTTAGTATCATAAAGGTAAAGACAGTGAAAACTGGAAGAAAGACTTCTCAGGAAGTTGCTGAGGAAGAGTCTTGTTCTGAATGAGACACCCAATTGGATCTCTGCTTGCCTCTTGGGGACACTGACACCTGCCCACTCATGCTGCACTGCCATGCCAAGGGCTACACCCGGACAGACCTCCTGGTTTGGATTCTACAGGAAACTCACCCTTCAGAGGACCATCCCTCCCTGCCCAGTGCTGGCCAGCCCTCCTGGTGGGTCAGGGCGGCTCCAGGACTCACCCGCCCTCAGGCTCTCAGCTCCTGTTTGTGTTTACATGTCTGGATCTTTGCCATGATTTGTTTTCAATGGAGAATCCCTGCCTGGCACAATGGAAGCTGCCAGTGGGTTCAAACTGAAGTGGGCTTTGGGCCCCTCCCCAAAGACATCAGAGGTAGCCACTGCTCCACTTCTTTTTAAAGATCGATTGATTATTGATTTGAGAGGCACAGTTACAGAGACAGAGAGATGAGAGGGATCTTGCATCTGCTGTTCACTCCCCAGATGGTCACAGTATCCAGAGCTGGGCCAGGCTGAAGGCAGGAGCCAGGAGCTTCTTCCAGGTCTCCCATGTGGATGCAGGGTCCCAGCAGTTGAGCCATCCTCCTCTGCTTGCCAGGTGCCTTAGTGAGAGCTGGACCGGAAGTGGAGCAGCTGGGACTCCAACGGCACCCACATGGGATGCCAGCATAGCAGCTGGCAGCTTTACCCACTGCTCCACACTGCTGGCCCCTGTTCGCACTTCTTATGCATTTCTAGTCTCTGTTCAATGTTTATTGCCAAAAAAAACTTGGAAAAATATAAGAAAATAAAAATCACTATAAATTTTACCCCCCCGACAACTGCTGCAAGCAAATGTGGTGTCTGTCGTGTGATTATTTAAAGCTGTGCTTGTACCTTTTAACACATTACTATACACCTGTTGGCGTGTGTGTTCATGAACATTAAGTAACACCTTTGGTGTGGTTCCATATTCCTCTGCACGTCCGTCATGGCTGCACAGCACTGCGGTGCCCAACCACACGGTTCCCTTTGAAGTGCGATGTTACAGCGCTGTGGGCCCTTCACATCTGGGGCAATCACAGGTGGGCTTGAGGAAGGACTTCCACGGAAACTGCTGGATTCGAAGGGAATGTGTTTCACTTGCTTTATTTTTCTGTATTGGAGAGGCAGAGAGAGAACTCACTGGGTCCCCTGGCTCACTCCCCTGAATGGCAGCAATGGCCAGGGGCTGAAGCCAGGAGCTGGAACTCCACCTGGGCTCCCAGGGGTGACAGGACCCCCTTCCTTGAGCCCAGAGCTGCCCCCTGGTTGACAGCAGTAGGAAGCTGGGTGTCAGGCACCTGATCCAGGGAAGGCTGTCCTGGTGACATTTAGTAGGGGGTGACATTCCTTCCACACAGAGGCAGCATTCCACCCTCCAGGGAGGACCTGGATTCCCTGGTGAGTGACTGTCTCCCTCTAGTTTGAGGTCTTTTTGTAGTCTTCAATGGCCACAGCTAAGGCCGTACCCAGCGGAAGACAGGAGATTTTTCGTGGGTCTCCATGGGAGTTCAGAATCCCAAGCACTAGGACCACCTTTTCTTGTTTTCCCAGGGGCATTAGCAGGAAATTGAATTGGAAGTGGAACAGCCAGGACTTGAACTAGCACCCATATATGATACCAGTGCCACAGACAGGGGCTTAACATGCTGCATTCCAATGTTGGTAACTACGAGCTCACCCCTTGGTGCTCGCTGCTGGGGTCCACTCGTGAGCACGGTGCTGGGGCATGTGCTGGTGGGAAGATGAGGTTTGGTTCCCCAGAGAAGAACGCGCCTTTGGTCTCCTTGTTTGTATTTTGTAAAATGGTGTGTGGAGGTCTGTGTTGCCCTGAAGCCCCCCCAGTCCCCAGGCCCCCAGAGTGGGCAGATCTCCCTGTGTCAAGCAGAGACCTTCCCTCTCAACCACCACAAGAGCCGAAACAGGGTGCTTACAATTTCCAGTTGACCTTTGCCTCCTCTAGCGCCTAGCAGCTGGACTTCCTGTGACGTGGGCCTGTTGATGGGCAGCTGTGAGTGTGAAACAAGTGTGATCTGGGTGGGGAGGAGGCCTCCCTCCCTCCCCTGTGAGGCCTGTGCCCTCTGAGTGCCCTCCTGCTCCCTGCGACACCCCTTCTTGTCCAGTGCACACCAGGAGCCTGCACTGGGAGGACGAGCCCGGAGACCTCAGGCAGCGGAGCTTTTAAAGCAGAGGCTCAGGAGCTGGGGTTACACCTGGCTTCCATCAGAGTCTCTGGTGCAATGACTTCTAGAATGCTTCAAGGAACTGTGGGGTGGAGGTAGAGCACCTTTTGCTTTTTAAAGATTTATTTATTTATTTTTATCGGAAAGGCAGATATATAGAGAAGTAGAGACAGAGGAGGAAGATCTCTGTCCGGTGGTTACTTCCCCTTCAGGCGCAACGGCTGGAGTTGAGCCAATACGAAGCCTGGAGCCAGGGGCTTCCTCTGGGTGTCCTACACGTGTGAGGGTCTTAAAAGTTTGGGCTGCCCTTGCCTGCACTTCCAGGCCACAGGCAGGGAGCTGGATGGAAATCAGTTAGACTGAGATTAGAACCTGCGCCTGTATAGAATCTGCTGTGTTCTAGGCAAGACTTTAAATGCTAGCTATTGCTACAAGGAGTCACATGTTGAAATACAGCAGTAGTTGGGCTCCTCAATCTCTTGGGCTCAGTGGAGTTTGGGATGCCTTTGGGGGCTAGATTAGCCCTTGAGTATCTGGGGTTAAAGTCTCGCTAAAGCCACCTGAGAGCTTTTCGCTTCCAGACAATTCCATGTGGATCTACATAAGTGTATTTTCCTGTTGCCTTCCTCTCAAGTCCATGATGAAACAGATGAGTCTGAGACAGGGGTATTTTGATTGACAAGCAGGAGGATAGCTTTACACGGGGGTGAGGCCTTGTTGCTCACGGGACTTCCAGGGCAGCAGCTCCTAAACTAGCTGCCTGTTCATGCTCTGCCAGCCGTGGGGAGACCCAGACGGAGTTCCTGGCTGCTGAGCTTGGCTGGCCCATCCTTGGCCATTGTGGCCATGTGGGAAGCAAACCAGGGAGTGCCCCCCACCCCGTGCCCATCACCCTGTCTCTGGCCCATGGTACAGGTTGTTTTTTTTGATTGTTTTGTTTTGTTTTAATAAATTTGTAGCTTGGAAGAACAATAGATTTATAGGATGTTGCATAGACAGAATTTTCATGTGTCTGTCGCTTGAAACACGTTCCACTAGTATTGACCTGTATCATGGGTCATTGTCAAGGCTACAAAACTAACACTGACACTCTACTCTGAACCATGTTCTAGACTCCATTTGGGTTTCAGTAGGGATCTCTTTCATTTTTCTTTCTTCCTTCCTTCCATCCTTCTTTCCTTCCTTTTTTTGGTAACATTTCTTTGTTTGTTGAAAAGCAGAGTGACTGAAAGAGAGAGAGGAGACAAAGACATGGTCCATCTGCTGGCTTACTGTGCTAATGGTTGCAATGGTTAGAGCTGGCCCAGGCTAAAGTCAGAAGCCAAGACTTCCGTGCTGGCCTCCCAGGTGGCAGGGGCCATCTGCTGCTCCCTCAGGCATAGTGACCGGGAGCTGGGTGGGAAGTGGAGCAGCTGGGACTTGAACCAGTACTACAGGATGGGATGTTGGTATTGCAATGAGCAGCTTAAGCTACTGTGCCACAACACCATCAGCAGATATGACCAGGTTTTGCATTAGTGACCCCCTGCCCCTTTATTGATTCTAGAGTCCTGTTTGATTCCTTCGTCACCTCTGGTCTGTGCCAGTTTGTTTAGACTGTGTTTGGTTTTACAAT